AAAAAACAGGAATCAAATAGGAAAAAAATTAGCGGTGGAAGCATCCGGGAGACTCAACAGATGGGGCATTGGCATCCGAATAAAGCGGCCCAAGTCCGTTCAAGGAATCCATTTCAAAAGCCCAAGGTCGGCGTATTCAGGTGCAATTTGGAGTCGGTGTGCGGCTCGTTATACGCAAATAAATTTCTTCTTGTCCTAAACTCGCCACACAGGCGGCAAGCTAATCAAAATCATCCCAAACACCTCAGGTAAGTTTTTCTTTAAACACCGCATAAGGAAGGGTTACTTGAAAATTTGGGGACTAGAAAAAATTTTTAGCAAAATTTTTGCTTAAAATTTCAAAATTTTGTGCAATGGATAAAAAATTAAAAAATTTCAAGCGTTAATTTCAAATCCTCTAAAGCCGATTAAACTGAGCTGAGGAGGTGAACAACAAAGCCGATTAAACCGAGCTTTGGACAAAGCAAAATCTATTTGTATACCGAAATTGCACCAAGAAAAAAATATGTTTGTATACAGAAATTGCATCAAGCAAAATCTGTTTGTATACAGAATTGCACCAAGAAAAAAATCTGTTTGTATACAGAAATTGCATCAAGTAAAATCTGTTTGTATACAGAAATTGCACCAAGCAAAATCTATTTGTATACAGAAATTGAATCAAGTAAAATCTGTTTGTATGCAGAAGTTGCGTCAAGCAAAATCTGTTTGTATACAGAAATTGTGCCAAGAAAAAAATCTGTTTGTATACAGAAATTGTGCCAAGAAAAAAATCTGTTTGTATACAGAAATCTGTTTGTATACAGAAATTGCACCAAGAAAAAAATCTGTTTGTATATAGAAATTGCATCAAGCAAAATCTGTTTGTATACAAAAATTGCACCAAGAAAAAAATATGTTTGTATACAGAAATTGCACTAAGCAAAATCTGTTTGTATACAGAAATTGCTCTTTAGTCCCATCAAGCGAGATCTATTTGTATACAGAAATTGCCCTTTGGACCCACAAAGCGAGATAAAAGCGAGATCTGTTTGTATACAGAAATTGCTCTTTGCCCTGATGCAAAATTTCAAAGTTTATGATTATTAATGCATGGATTATTAATGCATGGGGGCATGTGACGCCTCAACATTTAACAAAGGCAAGATCTGTTTGTACACAGAAATTGCTCTTTCCTTTTGAAAATATTTTCAGGTCAACCGGCAATGATTTCAAGAAGCCGTTTGGGCCCACCGAGCAATGATGATGTATTGCGAAGCTGTTTGGATCTTTTTCTCGATTAGTGATGCTGTATTGCGAAGCTGATCGAGTCAATCCTTTCCCTGATTAGTGATGGTGTATTGCGAAGCTGATCAAGGCAATCTCAATGACCAATCGGTGATGGTTTCTCGAAGCCGTTTGGTCCCACCAAGCAGTGATGGTGTATTACGAAGCTATTTTGGATCCTTTTCCTGATTAGTGATGGTTGTTATGCGAAGCTGATCAGGCAATCTCAATGACCATCGGGTGATGGTTTCTCGAAAGCCGTTTGTTCCCCACCAAGCATTTTGATTGGTGTTATTACGAAGTTTGTTTGGATTCTTTTTCCTGGTTAATGATGGTGGCATTGCAAAGTTGAATCAGGAGCCACCAAATTTCAAAATCCTTTGAGCCAATCAAACCGAGCCTTGAGTAGGTATCTCCAAAACCCAAATCAAGACCGAGTTTTGGAGATCGTTACCATCCGACTGGCTGGAGCCAACAAAGCCGATCAGACTGAGCTTTGAACGTGACCAGATGATCAGGACAACCGTTTCATTCAAATCCAAGGTTGAAGGCGCATCAATGGGCCAATTTAACGTTAATCGTCTATACAATTAATGATAAAGTGGGGGGCAAACTATTGACGCGTGTCTTTATACCCCCACCTAACCCAGTGATGATACGAGGACGCAGAATGAAGGGTCACGGCTGTCCGAAAGTTTTTTTAATCCAAGGATTTAATTTAGACCAATTTAAATATGACTGGATTGCATAAGAGTTGCGTCACACAGCTATTAGGTGCGTGACGGCACTGTCGGTTGCGTCACGCACCTCCAATCTAGATGACGTCACTGTGAAAGCCGACATAAAGGTTTTTCATTTTGTTTGAGTACGTGGCAACGGTCCAGAAAGTGAGCTGCGTCACGCAGCTATCGGGTCCGTCACGCAGCCGTCAGTTGCGTGACGCGCGTGACGCAGTTATCCCCTGGTTGCCCTACCTCTCATAAATTACATTGTTTTATCTTTCTTATTTGGGACAAGAATTTTAGGGGCGTGGAAAACATACACTTGCGGCTAGGTTTTTCTCCAGAAAAACTCCTCTGAGTTCCTTGAAGAAAAATAGCCATTAGACATCAATAGGTTAAAAACGAAAATCAAAAAAAAAAAAAAAAGAAGAAAAAGTAAGAGAAGAAAAGGGTGAGTGTTAAATCCTTTGTTGCGAAAAAGATTTCTGGAAAGGCTTACCTTCACTTCTTTTAAGCATCAAGTTATTTACAATTCCTCAGTCTGAGGGTTAGTAATTCCCTCAAACTTTTCTTTATATTTTTAGTTATTTTATTTCTAGTTATTATTTTATTATTGCTTATTAGTTTTAATTTCTTAGTAAACAGTATTCTGTCCACTCTTTGGTCATTTGAGATTTTATTAGAGGCATGTTTAGATACAAATAAAAACGTAAAAAACGGTTGTTTTAAAAAAGTAAATTCACGGACCAGCAGCAGTCGCGTCACGCAGCCAGTTAGATCCGTACGGAACTGGCAGTGCATGACGGAACTGTTCATGTCCAAAATACCATTCTTTACCCAGACTAGTTTGCGTCACGCAGCTAGTCGGTCCGTAACGGATCCGGAGGCTGCCGTGACGGGATCTTTCATATTTTCGCGATTTCACTTTATTTTAATTATATTATTTTTAATTAAACGAAATTCTAAAATATATTTGACGGATCTGGAATTTCAAGAACAGTTAGGTCACGGCGACTACATAGTTCCGTCACGCAACTGTTCTTCTTAAAAGACAGCTGTGTGACACGACTGTTCTAGGGTCAGAAACGATTTTTATCCTTTTAAGAAAAAATAATAGTTTTGACAAAAAATCAAATTTAATTTCGTTTAATTAAAATCCGAAGGCAACCAATTGTGGACAATTGCAATTTAATTAAGTTTAGTATTATTAAAATGTAATTATGCATGATTTTGGGTTTTTGCTTTCGGGTTAAATTTTTAATCGGGTAGAATGTTTTTTTAGGTTTGGTTTGTGCCCGCCTTTAACCATTAAGGCAAAAAGCGTGTCTTTTATTTATTTTGAATTTAACTGCTTTTGGTTTGGGATGATGTTGGATATTTAAATGATTATTGGATGAAAGGTGATTGAAATTTAATTGAATTTGAATGGACGATTAATTAATTTTCCTCATAGGAAACTCGGTTCGATTTCATTCGGGTTGGGTTTAAGTAATAAATAATTTGCTTTTTCTAATAAAATAAATTAGAAATTGAAAGGTTAAAAGAGGCCCGATTTTTCCGGGCGGTCGGCTTCCAACGGGCCGTCGCTACCCAATTCGCCCCTTACCCAGAATCGCCCTTTGAATTTACCCAGAATCGCCTTGATGCGCCTGACCAGTTTTTTTAAAATAATTTGGCCTTAAAATGAAATTGGGTTTAAAATTGAGTCATTTTTATAAAATTGGAAACGGTCCCATTACTGAAATAATGGGTGGCGACTTAAATATTTTCTAAGACCGATTTATCGGCATCATACTTAAAAGATTTTGTCACCATTGCTCAATAATAAAAATCACTTTTCCAATCAAAAAACAAAAAGGCACGTTTTTCGGGTCGCTCGGGGGCGGTGCGAAAACAACACACATCCCAGTCAGTAAAATCTAATTGAGGTAAGATTTCACCTTTCGCTAATCTCAAAATCCTTTCTTTGGATATGTGACCTAACCTTTGATGCCATAAGAAAGCAGAACATTCATTATGTGCACTATGTTTATTGCCTATATTGTGCTCAACATTAACAACATTAAACAAGGATTCAACAATTTAAACATCAGATTAAAATGAATACAAACTATCAAATTAAAGTTACCAGAACCATAATAGACTTATGTTTGTACAAATGAAAAAACACCATTACCAATCTTTAAAATTTAAAACCAAATATTGTCCAACCTCCCTTACAGAACTAAATTTCTAGCCACATTCAGGAGGAAAATAGAGATACTTTTCAAGATCCAGATAAACAACCAGTGTCCAGGATTCAATCTATAAGTCCCAATTCCTTCTATTCATCCTTCATTCTATTTCCCATTTGTATAGGAAACTTCTCAGTTTTGTTTATAGGTTGGGATCGAAAGGAAATCCCTGTTTATAAACATGAAAGACACATTGAGTAGTTGCACCAGATCTAACCACCAGGTATTATTAGGCACTTCAATAAGATTTTGATTCAAAACATACGAAACGTTAAAATATATTCTTTCTTCTCAAACCAGATCTTCCTTTTCGGAACATCTTTCTTGAAGTGGACCATTCTTTTTACAGGAATTTTTACAGAAGTAGCACTTCAACTCCTTATGGATTTGGCCCTCATTCACTTTCATTGGGGCTTTGTCCCTTTTCTTGCCTTTCTTTCCTGATTTGTTGCTGCCGCTACTAGCTCCATTATGAAAAGTGAAATTGATGGAGTGTTCCTTCATCTTCTTTAGTCTCCCTTCCTCTTGTATCAGCATGGCCTTAATTTCTTAAATGTTCCATTTTTCCTTAAGGGTATTGTAATTCACCTGGAACTGACCAAACTTACGAGGGACTGAGTTGATAATGAATTGAACTAAAAAGGACTCGCTCACATCCATACCCATCGATTTCAATCTAGCTACCAAATTCTGCATGCTAGTCACATGATCATGAATGGATTGTGACCAATCAAACTTTTTGGTCGTTAGCTCACTCATTAAGGACCCTACTATGGATTTACCCTACTATGGATTTGTCAGTTATATCCGATTGGGAGTATTCATTAATCTTTAACATGTACTCTCTAGCATCGTTCATTTTGGGCATTGATGTCTTAACATTTTCAGCCATTGTCATCCTCATTAAGTTCAAGCTCAGCCTGTTAGACAGCTCCCAAGCCTCATTATGAGACTTGTCAACTTCTATACTGGTCTCTATGATGGCTGCTGGCTTTTCAGAGACTAATGCTAGATCCAAGTCTAGAACTCCTAACTGATAATGGATTTGTTCAGACCAATCAGCATAGTTCAATCCATTCATTGAACTTAATCAACCCGTGCCGGGAAAGCAATTAGCGAAACAGTAGAAGAAAATTGCCCAGCATATACACTTATACTCATACAGTTAACACTCTTGAAAACAAAAACTTAAATGGCGATTCACAACAAAATAACAGAAACTTAATTATTGCATTTAATTCACTTAATTATGCATTTAAATTCACCTTTGGGTAATACTTAAATACATAGCTTTAATCAATAATGATGCCAAGAATAAAATACTCTAATAGACCTTCATTGATACACAGGAACTCGCGAATTTGATATGTTATTTAAGGAGTAGAGGCACGCTCGTGCTTCTCTTTGGAACTCAGGGCACGCCCGTGCTACTCTCTGGAACTCAGGGCATGCTCGTGCTACATTACAGCTTGGCCCGTGCTACTCTCTGGAGTTCAGGACACGCCCGTGCTAATTACAGCATGAACCGTGTTATTCTTTAAGGTCTGTAGCACACCCGTGCTCATTACAGCACACGTGCTCCTTTCTGGAGTCCAGTTTTAGCAATAATACAATAAGAAAATATCCATGTTACCTTTGGGTATACATACATATTTATCAAATACAATGATAGGTCTCTTTGACGCCATTGATTATAAGTAATGGTCTACCTTTGGGTAACCTGATAGGTCTCTTTGACGCCACTGATTATAAGTAATGGTCTACCTTTTGCGGTAACCTCATAATCATATAATCAATGATCTTCAATGTTCAATTTTATCTTTTATGTCATAACGCGCCGCATCACGATGATAGTGAACAATTTGAAAAAAACTGCATAATCCAAATATCTTACTAAAATGTTCAATTTTATCTTTTATGTCATTTAACGGCATCACATGATATGAACAATTGAAAAACTGCATAATCAAATATCTAAATAAATCCAAACAAGGTTACTTTGGTGACTAACAAGTTTTCCATTTATTAAATATTAAATTATGCAGAAACTTATGAGATTGAATTAAGATCTCAAAACTTTAATGACATTATACAATAAGATGTCTTGATCTTTCTTTTATAAATCAGAATAGAATAATTTAGAAAGCACAAAGAAAACAAATAGTTTTTCAATTTCTATAACTTTGGCTTCGTTTATACCAGATTAAAACAATTTCATAATACAAAGTTAATTTCCATTAATCAAGCTAAATACAAAATCTATCAAATAAATCTAGAACAAACTAGGCTCTGATACCACATGTAAAAACTTTAATGCTCTCCAAATTGTTTTGTCCAGAAATTATTTAATAGGAAAAACTGTTAACAGAAGCGTACCTTGATTCATAGCCATTGATTACCTCGTTGGCTTATTCGATTCTTACTATTGTCGGAGATCCGTGTTTTATTCACTCTAGCCTTTTGTCCGTACTCTTCTCTTAATGGCCAAAGATTAATCAACAGCAATGGGAGTTAATCTTTGCACGTTCTCTCAAAACAACCTGTTATCACTATGCGTTTTAAGATAGCCATCACCCACTCTTAATCTTTTCGCTGTTGATTTCCTTTTCTTTTATAAGACAGAAGAAGGGTATTAAAACCCTAACTGGTTCTCATCCCATTAAGCCCAATAGTCATCATCTTGGGCCACCTTAATTAGAACCGGCCCTTTAATTACATGAGCCATATAGATTGTTAAAATAATCTAACACTGAATACAAGCAGGTCTCTAAGGCTCCTAGTCCTTCTTCACCGTCTGACAGAAATAAATGTTGGATTCTACCAAAAGAAGGCCTGTTAAAGTGAACTATGATGTTGCGGTAAGAACAGATGCCACATGCGGGTTTGGCATGGTGATTAGAAATAGCGCGGGTGTAGTTATGGCCTCTGGCTTGATGAGGGGTCCTTCCTTTCTGTCGCCTAAAGAAGCTAAAATTACTGCTATGTTTTTTGTCATCTCAAAAGCTGTGGAGCTCAATTTTACTACTGCTGTCTTTGAATCGGATTGTCTTCCCTTGGTCACTAGCTTGAAGACCCGTTCTATGGCTCGATCTGATCTTGGCACTCGCATCTTGAATTGTTTGCTGGCTTCTCGTCAATTTATTGCTTCTCATATCACTCATATTTACAAAGAATGGAACGTAGTAGCCCATTCTCTTGCACAACTAGCTTTTAGTATTGATTTAGAAGAGGATATCTGGACAGAGAAGGTCCCTCCCTCTATTATTCAGTTTGTAATAGCTCATACTATTGCTTTTCCTCAATACATTTCAACAAGTTCCCCTAAAAAAAAAAAAAAAAAATTGTTTTGTTTATTTTATTTTATTTTTATACTTACAGGAGATGTCCTAGCCCATGTCAATTTTAACCGTCCATGATAAACTTAGTTAATTCCGTCCGCCATCGGAGGCAAAACGGCTAGCTCAGAAAAATTTTCGGTACAGAGGATCGAACCATAACCTAAGCCATGGTGATCAATTTGTTAATTTTATTAGCTATCAGATGTTGTTAGTTATTATATTTTTTTAACCTCAAATTCTCATTATACTATCAAGTTATTAACAATAGTATAAAATGATTTATAATATTACAATATAGATAAAAGAAATTAATGAAAATTAAATTAAAGATAACGTGCACTGCATGTAAAAAAAAGAAAAAAAAAAGTAAATTTAGAGAAAAAGAGATCATCTTTATGAAACTCTCCATCTTTTAATACGATAATAATAACAAGATAGAAGGACTATGATTTGATAAAGACCCATCCACCCAGGTATAATCCAATGGATACTGAGCACAAAACTCCAAATGCTTAAAAACAAAACAATCCCCAACTTCCCATGTATTGCTCCTTTTCTAACATTAACACTCTCCACATTTAGTTTCCACTATCTATTTATTATTATTTTTTTATTATTATTACTATTTGTGGTGATGATCTTATCAACCTCATTCTCATCAGTTATCTCTTAAATATTAATGAAACAAAAAGCCAAATTTCTTTTTCTTCCTTTTATATTTTTCAAACCTCCGACTGCACGTAGTTCTGTTCTTGGATTAGACTGCAAATTTTAATTTTTATATGAAAAGAAATTTCAAATGGAAATGATTGAATTTTTTAAAATAATTTAATATTATCAATTTTTAAAATAATTTAATATTTTTTTTAAGTATTGCGAATTCAAATTGCCAGGTAGGTCAAAGTATATGTATACTGTATAATATATAATACTTAGCAATTTTAGTGCTTGGGGATTGTTATCTCAGTGGTATAGTTCTTCTTTAAAACGTATGGATTTTTCATTATAGTTCTCGTTGATGTTTTAACAAACATATCATTTTGATTTTTAACACTGTAAAATACAATATATTTTAGTTATTAATATATTAAACACTTCTTTTTTTTTTTTTTTTTTATATAAACTTCTTTTTTCTGTTTTTTTTTTTTTTTTTTGGTTTCCTCTTGGACAAAGAAGGGGAACAATATTGAGCACACATCATGAATCTCACCAAGATAATTATCTAGAGAAAACGTCCAAAAATCAGGCGATATAAAAAATAAGGAAGGGACCTTTTAAGAAATATACTATATCTGAAATTAACAAACCAATTAAACTGTAGTTTAATCCCTCCGAAGGCTGTATCCGACAATAATTTTTTAGATAGCTAATATTTTTTATTGTATTCGATGATATAACTTTAGATATTAAGGTAGTGTTGTATAAAAGTTAATCCATGTAAAGTTTAGTTTTTTAGCTTTTTAGAAAAATTTACTAAAACAACTAACAGTTAAACGCTACTAAAACATCGGTTCAAAGATAAAACTAAATCATTTTTAGGACAATAATTTTTCATTTTCAACAGTAAACATTTTTCGGATTTGATGAACTTATTATAACTTTATAAATAGTATACATCTATTAATTTACAAATCATTGCACATGTAAATATAGTTTAGCAATAAATACATATCTTCCTTTTTAATGCTAATTGAAAAAGAGGGAGAAAAGAGCAATGATAAAGGCAAAACTTATTTTACAGAGAAATATATGAAAAATCAAAGAACTTTATTATATGAGAAGCCATATTAAAAAACTGAATGAATTCAAGAACAACTCAAAGTTATATAAGCTAATAACTAACCTATTTATGGAGAAGGGCTAAATAAAATAAAATATGATATATACTTTTTTTTTTTTTTTTTTTAAGGGGTGGTAAAATAAAATCATGATATATACTTTTTTTTTTTTTTTTTGAAAAAGGAATGATATATACTAATTTAGTTACAGTAAAATTTTATTATGTGTAAGAATAAAAATATTTGAGGTAAAATTAAAACATTCAAACCCAAGAAATTGCTTAAAGCGGGTCATAATATATTTTACTAAAAAGACAAGAATAAAAGGAAGAAAGGAAAGAGTAGTGAAAAATAGAACCAGTTGGTGGGTTCAAAAGTTTTTTTTTTTTTTTTTTTTGAAAGGAATGATATATACTAATTTTTAGTACAGTAAAATTATATGTGTAAATAAAATATTTGAGGGTAAAATTAAACATTCAAACCCAAGAAATCTTAAAGCGGGTCATAATATAAATTTACTAAAAAGACAAGAAATAAAAGGAAGAAGAAAGAGATGAAAAGAAACCAGTTGGTGGGTTCAAGTCAATGGTGTACCTGGCATACATCCAAAGGCATTGGCAGGGCCCAACCATGGTGTTGGTGGATTGAGAAAGGTTGAAAATGCCTGTTAGATATGCAAATTTTGTCAATGTCATACAGTATTATTAATATTTTCCAACCAGCAAAGCCCAAATCTGGTACATTCAACTTTAGTTTATTAAAAACACTTTTTTCCGTTGCGTCTCAAGGTGAGATAGAATGACAAAAATCTTTTCTCTCTTAATTAAAGGTTTTGAATTCAAGTTCTGGATATAAAATCTCTTTAAAGACTTGGGAGAGAGCCGCTTCCGAGATTATGAAAAGTGATGAATTTTCATAAATGATTATAAAATTTTATTAATCTCTCTTAATAAATGATTATAAAA